GAAGGAGCTGGACGAGAGCCGGCGGGAGGTCATCCAGATCTTGAAGGACCTCAAGCAGAAGCACCCGGAGAAGGAGCTGGAGCAGCTGGTGGAGATGGCCAACTACTACGCTCTGCTCCACCAGCAGAAGAGCAGAGCCTTCTACCGCATCCAGGCCACCCGCATGATGACCGGCGCCGGCAACATCCTCAAGAAACACGTGGCCGAGTTCTCCAAGAGGTCCTCCACCCTCCTGGAGGTGCCCTCGGACGCCGAGGAGGAGACCTGCAGCCGGATCTTCTTCGAGCCTTGCCTCTACCACTGCCTGGAGAACTGCGGCTCGGTGACGCTCTCGGTGGCGTGCCAGCAGGGCGCCGAGGCCAACCACACCTTCTACGTGGACTACAAGACGGAGGACGGCTCGGCCAAGGCGGGTTCCGACTACGAGTACAGCGAGGGGACGCTCATCTTCAAGCCGGGGGAGACGCAGAAGGAGCTGAAGATCGGCATCATCGACGACGACATCTTCGAGGAGGACGAGCACTTCTTCGTCCGCCTCCTCAACCTCCGGGTGGGCGACGCCGAGGGCATGTTCGAGACGGATTCGGCCGAGCACCCCAAAGGTCGCTTGGTGGCCCCTCTGGTGGCCACCGTCACCATCTTGGACGACGACCACGCCGGCATCTTCACCTTCCAGGACCGGCTGCTGCACGTCAGCGAGTGCCAGGGGACGGTGGAGGTGACGGTGGTGCGCAGCTCGGGCGCCCGCGGCACCGTCCTCCTGCCCTACCGCACCCTGGAGGGGACGGCCCGCGGTGGCGGCGTCCACTACGAGGACGCCTGCGGAGAGCTGGAGTTCCGCAACGACGAGACCGCGTGAGGCGCCACCCCTTGTCCCTCTCCCCCTCCCACCTTGTCCCTCTCCCACCACCACCTCCGGTCACCCCCATGGTTAAGCCGGAGCCGCCCACCCCCAGCGGGGCGGTGGGAGCCTTCGTTAGCGCGGTCGGTGCCGTAATGATCTCCGATCCTCAGCCCCGCTCCTGGAGGGAGGGAGGGAGGGAGAGATGGGGGGAGGGATGGGGAGATGGTTGGAAGGATGGATGGGAAGATGGGTGGATGGATGGAAGGATGGACAGATGGATGGAGGGACGGATGGAGAGAGGGTTGGATGGAGGAATGGATGGGGAGATGGTTGGACAGAGGGATGGATGGGGAGATGTAGGAATGGAGGGATGGATGGGGAGATGGTTGGACAGAGGGATGGATGGGGAGATGTAGGAATGGAGGGATGGATGGGGAGATGGTTGGACAGAGGGATGGATGGGGAGATGGAGGAATGGAGGGATGGATGGAGAGATGGTTGGATGGAGGAATGGAGGGATGGGGAGATGGTTGGACAGAGGGATGGATGGAGGGATGGTTGGATGGACAGATGGATGGAGGGATGGATGGAGAGAGGGTTGGATGGAGGAATGGATGGGGAGATGGTTGGACAGAGGGATTGATAGGGAGATGGAATGGTTGGATGGAGGAATGGAGGGATGGGGAGATGGTTGGACAGAGGGATGGATGGAGGGATGGTTGGATGGACAGATGGATGGAGGGATGGATGGAGAGAGGGTTGGATGGAGGAATGGATGGGGAGATGGTTGGACAGAGGGATGGATAGGGAGATGGAAGAATGGAGGGATGGATGGAGAGATGGTTGGGTGGAGGAATGGAGGGATGGGGAGCTGGTTGGATGGAAGGATGGACGGAGGGATGGTTGGATGGACAGATGGATGGAGAGATGGTTGGACAGAGGGATGGATGGGGAGATGGAGGAATGGGGGAGTGGAGGGATGGGGAGATGGTTGGATGGACAGATGGATGGAGGGGTGGAGGAACGTAGGGATGGACGGAGAGATGGTTGGGCAGAGGGATGGATGGGGAGATGGTTGGATGGAGCGATGGATGGAGGGAGGGATGGAGGGATGGGTGGGATGGAGGGATAGAGAGGTGGGTGGGGAGATGGTTGGAGGGATGGAGACATGGATGGAGAGATGGTTGGGTGGAGGGGTGGATGGAGAGATGGAGGAATGGAGGGAGGGCTGGAAGGATGGAAGGATGGGGAGACGGAAGGATGGAGAGATGGTTGGATGGAGGAATGGATGGAGGGATGGGGAGATGTTTGGATGGAGAGATGGTTGGATGGAGGAATGGATGGTGGGAGGGAGGGATGGATGGAGGGACGGTCAGATGGAGGATGGACAGAGAGGGCTCTGGTTGGCCATTGCCACCCCGCGCTGGGGACACTCTGCCCCCATGGGGACACCCCCCAGCACACGGGTGCCACGGGGCAGAAAGGGGATGGAGGTGGCCCACGAGGTCAGCTCCTGCCCCACCTCGTCCCCCCGGGGCATCATGGGACCTCCTGGGCGTGGCGGTGACGGTGACGGTGTCATGTCGTCCCCCCCTGTCCCCAGGAAGACGCTGCAG